CACGGGGGGGCCTGCCCCCCCCCGGGCCGCGCCTGCCGATCCGCGCGGGTGGCGGCGTGTTTCTCCGCGCGTGCGGAACCTTCCAGAAGGTGCCGGGGGCCGGCCATGTTTCGCTTCCTCTCCCGTGGAGCTCTACGCCGTCCGCCTATGAAATTGAGACGCCGGAGTCCCGCGGAGCCGGGGGAGGGGCCGACCGCGTCGGGCTTTTCAGAGCGGTGGACGCCGGCGAGAGGGGCGCGCTCCGAGGGCTTCCGCGGCCGCGCGCGCGCGCGCGTGCGTGCGCGCTCCCCGCCGGGGTGGCGCGCCCCGCGGGGTCCGACGCCGCGGGGTCGCAGGGCGACCGGAAGCCACGGCCGAGGCGACCTCCTGCTGAGGAACGCGCCGAGGGGTGGGCGTGGGGAGGACTGGAGACTGGTACTTACCAGTGCGCGGCGTGGCCTGAATTTTCCGCGGTGGGTTTCAGGAAGACCCTCTGTGGGGGGTTGGACATTTTAGAGGGAGGGGAGGGCTTAGCTCATCAGCGAAGCGGGGCGGGGAGTAGGGCCGAGGGTCTCAAAGGGGTGAGAGCCAGAAGGAGAGGGTGTTGGGCTGGAGTTGCCCCGAAGCAATTCTGAGCGTTTGGATCCAGAACCGAGGGCGACGGCGGGCGGTGGGCGTTCCCCCAGGCCTCCGGGAAAGGAGGCTGTGGCGCAGTCACCCAGTGACCGGAAGACTCGTGGGGGGGGAGGGCGACTGCGCCCTCGCGGCCGTACATTCTGAGAGCCCCGGCCCGAGTCTCCGCCCCCTAAGCTAGGACGTCATCGCTCCAGGGCCAATCGGAGCGGGCTCGTGGGGCGTGGCCTTCATGGCCCCGTCTCCCACAGGGTCGGGTCAGCGTGGAAAACAATGCCCGCCTGGATCTGCCGACCCCGCCCACCGAAGCGGCTAGCCCGAGCTAAGCTCTGTCCGGACGCTTCCGTGTTCGTCACGTCCGGTTGCCGTAGTGACTGGCTCGCTAGAGCCCCGCCCTTGTTATGAAGTCCAATTGCAAGTGACGTTTGCTGTGTTTTCTTCCGGATCAAGGAACGAATTGCAAAAGAAAGATCTCGGGACACCTACGCACAAAAAAAAAAAAAAAAAAAAAAAGAAAAAAGAAAAAATGTTTCCGGGGTCAATCGTACATTTTCTATCTTTTGTGTTCACCGGTAGTGTCAGTTTTCCTCCCTCGCCAGCGCTTTAAATGACGTCGACAGGCTTTTTTGGAATCGTTCTACACTAATATTGTGAACATTTTCGACATCTGCCTCTAGCCACCGATGTTTGTGGCTACTTTCTCTGAGTTTTCTTGTTTTGTTTTGTTCTTCCCTCTTTCCTGAAGCTTTGCTACCAGAATTTTTTTAACCCCCCCTTCCCCCACTCCACGTTCATGCCTCAGTCAAAACTGTTACTTATTGTCATATAGTTCATTCATTCATTCTCTAAGACTTTCATTCTCTATATAAGCTAATTTTTTGACATTTTGGATCTCCAGAGAAAAGCTTTTCAAATGCCTCTTGATTCAGTTAAGCCACTCTCTGAGATAAGGCTTCAGTCTCTGGCTAGTGGGTGGAAATTCCGGTTCGGCTGCTCTATAGAAAGGGTGTGTGGGTGGAGTGGTTTTATTTGCTGTAAGCAATTTTATTTGCTGTAAGCAGTTCCTGTGTAAACTGGTTCACACTGTTCATATTTACAAGACTGACGTGAGGCAGCACATTTAAAAGTTTATTTTGGTCTTTTAAAAACGCCAATTACTCATTTCCCTAACTTAGAAACAAAGAACTGAGTATCACATGTTCTCACTAATAAGTAGATCTTGAACAACTATCGTAATACAATAAGAAAAGGATTGCACTGGGCTCGATGGCTCAGCCTGTAATCCCGTGCCTTTGGGAGGCTGAGGTGAGTGGATTGCCTGAGCCTGCGGGTTCGAGACCCACCTGGGCAACTTGGCGAGACCGCATCTCTACAATAAAATCAAAATGAGCCGGGTGTGGTAGCACGCGCCTGTAGTTCCAGCTACTTGGAAGGCTGCGGCGGAAGGATCTCCAGAGCCCAGCAGGTCGAGGCTGCGGTGGCTGGGAGCGGCCACTGCACTCCAATCTGGGCGACAGAGTGAGACTCCAACTCAGAAAGAATAAAAAAGAAAAGGATTGACAGTAGCAGGGAAGGGGCGGGGTGGGTAGTGAGGTGGGATTGGCAGTAGTGGGAATCTGCTAGGGGAAGGGAGCGCACACCTCATCAACAAGGGTACCTGAACAATGAATATTTGTACACCTAACCCTAAATTATACCCCACAATTTTAAAGTTAAAAATTTCAAGGTGAAAAAAGAAAAGATGCCAATTACTCATTTCCCTAACTCAATGAGACAATACTGATTAGAGAATTTCGTGCCTTTATACATTAACAGGAAGTAATACTTTCTAAATACTGTTCACTCTTAAAAACTAACTTCAACTACATAGAAGGCTGTGTATATAACTGGCATTATGCTGTGTCCATAAATGACATTTATCTTTTGTTCAAATATCACCCCCTCCTGAAGAGGAGGGTGGTGAGTCCTTAAACTTGTCTGAAAAAAAAAAAAAAAAAAACTTGAAGGAGTTGTTAAACCTGTACAATAACGTATATACCTAACCCTGAATTGTACCACACATCTTTAAAATATAAATAAATAAATAAAAATAAAATAGCATCCTCACCCTCCAAAAAAAAAAAAATGAATGAAAGAATTGCCCATTCTTGCTTGATCCATTTTTATTCACTTACTATCCATTTTTTCCATCGCCACTCCCAATAAGCAGGACTCACTGTCACAGAGTGAACTCCCTGGGAAGCAGGCTCTTAGGATGGACTTAGATATGCAAGAAGTTTGTTAGAGATGAGTATCTGAAATGGAAAGAAAGAGAGTAAAATTAGGCAGAGGGAGAAGTTAGGCTGTGATGACCAGTCTCAACAAAGGCCTTAGCCAAACCCACATAGAGGTCTAAAACTGAGATTAACTTACAAAGTTTTCTCAAGTGTTATGCAAAGGATGCCTTTATGTCCCTATGATAATCAGCTACTAGATGCAGACTGTGCCAAGGCAGGGTTTATGCATTTGGACAAGAGAATCTTTTTAGCCAAGCCAATTATTCAAAGAGGCTGATAGTAGAGACATGTCTGCTGGTAGCACTCTCAACAGCCAGGGGAATAAGAACTTCCATCCTGAAGGGAAGTCAGAGGTGCATTGCAGCGTTGACTGTATTCGTTAAACCACTCATTCAGCTTTCTGTTGCAACTGATGCTGTTTATTTCACATGCACTTAAAATTTTTATTCAGCAACCTTAGTAATTATTTCCTCACTCTTGATGCCACTGCAATATACTTTGTGGATTTCCTCCTACCTTTTTCTCTACTTCTGAGTCTCTTCTGAAGGTTTCTGTCTCCCTTTTTAGTCATTAAATTAGGGAGCTTCTTAAATCTTGATAAATGATCCTCTTATTTTCTCAAACTATTTTGTCTCCCCACATGATTTCATCCATGCCCATGGTTTGAATTACCACATACACCCATTATTATACTACCAAGCACATGTATGATACTATGTGCCAGGCACTGTTTTAAGTGTTGTTTTCAAATTGTTTGTTTGTTTGTTTTGTTTTGAGTTGGAGTCTCACTCGGTCGCCCAGACTGGAGTGCAGTGGCTGCTCCC